GTCCCTGTGTGAAGGGGTGGGCATGGACACGCATGTAAATCCACTCTGTGGGCATCTGTGCAGCGGGCAAACTGCCCCTCTGCCTCTGCTTCCAGATGTGAGTGTCCGGAGTCCAGATGCGGCAGCGTCACTGTGTGCCCCTCTGTGGTATGTGTGTGCCTGAGCAAGGAGCATGTGCTCGTTGGGTGTGTGTCAGGAAAAGGACAAGAGAATCCAGACAGGGTCAGGGGGGAAGGTGCACACAGAGGCCATGGTGCAGCTCCACAGCAAAGGAGATCAGGTTTCAGGAGAGCCTGGAGCTGGGGCTGGAGGGGGACAGGAGGTGGGCTTTGCTGCCTGCATTCCCTGGCAGGCAGCACAAGGCAGGTTTAAAGAATATCCTTCCATTTAGGAGTTTGTTTATTATTCTTAACTAAGCAGCTCAGACAGGCAAGCCGGCAGCACTATATCCACACTGACTTCCCAGGAAGGCAGGGAAGGGAGGGACAGGAAGGCAGATTTCCAGACTAGGGGACAAAGGGATTTATGTACCGCCGGGCCGGGCTAGGGAACAGGCAAAGCCACTCTGCCAGCTATTCAGAAAGAGGGTGGAAGTCACTCGGTTTTGGGATGTCGGAGTGGAGTCTGGGTGGGGTGCAGCTGGCGTATGGCAAACAGGATCATGGCTTACTTGCTAAAACCCAGCAGCACCTTTGGGTTGGCTGCTCCTCATACTCTTAAGAACTTTAGACTTTTGTCTGAAATTCCTCAGAACCAGGAGCAGAGACTCAGCTGTGTTTTCTAGGGAGGAGGGAGAAACAACCTCTTCTCTCTCCTCTTAAAATCCACTTATTCTATCGGGAGTCACAGGGCACCAGGATATTTGATGTAATAGAAATTCCCTCACCTTGCAAGTGTGTCCATAGCAGGAAGTCAGTGCTCATCTCTCAGCTCTGCGTTTTGGCTTCTCTGGCCCAAATTTTCAGCTGCAGTGATATAACGAAAAACCCGGCTACCTAGATAGAAAGGAGAGAAAGTATTATTCTATTTCTCACAGGGAAAGACCAAACATATCTGTGGGCTCCCTCAAAGCATGGGTGATGGAGAAGGCAAAGCTCTGCACATCTACACACAGAGTGAAGTCCTGCTTGTGCACGCACGGCAGCTCAGCTAAACCCTGTCCGTACGTGCAGAGATGCACTGGGCAGCATTTTTCAGCCAGCACCTTCTACATCTCCGGACTCCAGTGTGCAAGGGAACGATGCAGATCCAGGGGACGGGGCACCCCTCTGCAGGGTGTGAGCACACCCCAAAGCTACCCGACACGTAAACAGGAGAATTAGTGTCTTTTGCAGCTCAGAGGGCAGGACTGCAAAGCAGGGACTATCTTTGCCATTTGCTGAGCGCTGATGTGTGTGCTCACACTGTCATGAAAATGAGGTCAAGGAAGGTCATTCAGTTCAACAGTATAAATCAAGGAGGAAAGTAGAGTGGAAGCCTGTGAATACTCGAGAGATCTCACCAGTGGGGGGTGGCCGGGGGAGCGGAGGAAGGGCTAATGAGACCGAGAATGCCACACACGAGTGAAGCAGAAAATAACGGTGAATGAAAGCAGCCAAACGGTGGCAGCCAAAACAGAAGGCAGGAAAGCCCAGCCTCAGGTCCTTTATCCTGCGCTATAACCAAGGCTTCGTGTTAACTCAGGGGATTATTCTGCCAGAGCAAGCAGAAAGGCTCCACACCCTCCGGTCCCAACCCGCTGACAGGAAACCTTTCACTGGAAACTTGCTTGCATTCAGTGCAAAATGTCTCACTTCTGTTAGCAATTTGTTCCCCATCACAAGCATTCCTGGGAGAAGTTTGGCGGGGGTAGGAACCGGGCCAGGAGGGCTGCACGCGGGGCGCTTCCACCTGGCGACCTGCTTAATAACACAGTGGAGCAGACAGCCGGCCTTTCACCACCTCCTGCTCTCCTCCATGTCCCTCATTCTGCCTTTCACCACCTCTCCCTTCCTTTCTCTCCTTTCTCCTCCCTTTTGCCAGTCTCCTCATTCCCTTTCTCCCCTTCCCCTCTTCTTTCATCCCCCTGTTTCTCCTGCTGCTAGGTGCAGCTCTCCCCGCATGCTCTCTCCTCGGTCTGCCGGCCTCCCAAACTCATCACACCTGTGCCCACCGCCCTCTCAGCTATGGCAGAGCTCAGGACTTTCTCCTTGCGCTTGGTCTGAGCCTCCAAAATGCTTCTTGCAACCAGTCTTCCCCCAGCGCTCTCTGGACAGAAGTCTCCCTCTTCCCTTCCCCCTTCTCTTTCTCTCCCTCACATAATATTTTCCATATGAAGAAGCCTTCCTGAAGCCGCGCGCTGCCCTCTCGGCGAGTCTTAGGCGGGTTAGAGGAGACCCTGGGAGCCTTTAATCCTCTCTCTCTCGCTTACTTTCATCCTCAGCCACAGCTGGACGCCCCATTGATGTGGAACAGACCAAACACCAGGCCCCTTGCTAAGCTGCTGCTGTGGGGCCTCTTCTCCTTTAGAGCTGAGCCGAGCCCGTGGCCCATGTCCTGCTCACAGAGCGCCCGTCCTGCG